TTAGTATATGGAAGGATTGACTTTTTATGCCATTTGTTAAAAAGCTTTTGCATGTAACATTAACCATGAGCAACTATATTTTAAACTATAAATAGCTATCATTTTACAAAAAAATAGCACAAGTTTTAATTAACATATGGAAGCATCGACTTTTTATGGCTCTTGTTGAAAAGGCTTTTCGCATCATGTAACAATAGCCATGAGTAGCTATATTTTAACTATAAATAGCTATCTTTTTGCCAAAAAATAGTATTAATTTTGCTTTAATTAATATATGGAAGGATTGACTTTTTGTGCCACTTGTCGAAAAAGCTTTTTCCATGTAATAATAACCATGAGTAGCTATATTGTTAACTATAGCTTTGATAAATGTCTTGAAGTGCAACTTAGGTTGGAAAATACAAGAATCATCTAGGCTGCCTTTGTGTCTGGGCGCTTGTTAGGCTGCCCAAAACATTGATCACATGCAATCGCTAAGAATGATTGTGACATACTTGTATTTGAAGTAAATGATATCATAGCGTGTGTATATATAGATAGGGTTAACGACTCTATAGAGCATTTTGTTATTGTACTCAAGAAATTTTAGACACTGTTTCATACCCTTGTACATGGAGCATTTTTTTTAGTAAGGGCATTTTTGGTCCTTAGGAGGGGTGCAACATCATCGATATGGGGTGTGACATACTCGTGGGAGAGGCTTGTGGCAATCTCTACTTTGGAATGCTATCTTTGTAGAGAAGGTTTTCAAACTTGTCTTTGATTGAGATTGGATTATAGTACTTGCCAGGTCTGGACATATAGTGTGGGTGTGAATGCTTCATGATCCAAAAAAAAAAATTCATAGATCAAATTCCATGATGGAATCCGAGTTAGTAGGCTTCGAAGCCACTAGAGGGATGGGATTGGGGGCAATTAGTTTTTTCCCACAATGGGATGGGAACCCTACCAAAGGATAAGGACATTCCAAATCCAATCCCTTACTGTCTGGTACAACTAACTCTAATTAAATAGAGAAGTTGAGCTTTACTCTCAGTGATTCTAGCTTTGCCTATATTATGTAGAGCCCATGCTTGTGTGATACAACTAACTCTCAGTGGTATGTGGCGGCTGCATAAATCTCTAGATGCACATGTCCACTTTGCTCATGCAACTCTAATTCTATGTGCGATATCTGCCTCACTATATTCTGCTAGACTATCGACCCTAGATATTGGAAACAACCTCTTTTAGATATTTCTTGACCATCATCAATCATATAACTAATTTCTCATTTTTTTTCCTATTATTACTAAACTTGCATTCTATATATTCTGACTTAGTTTGGCTAATCTTAAAACCTTTAGATTCTGGAGCATCCCTTCGGCGTTATAACTTTATGTCGACGCCGTCTCTAGTCTAATCGATCATAACTATGTCATCCGTGAAAACATATACCACGATACGCTATCTTGTAGGTGCGTGGTTAACTCGTCCATAACCAAAACAAAGAGACATGGGCTCAGTGTTGACTCTTGATGTAAGCCCATTGTCATTGAGAATTCACTTGTATCTCCACTAGTTGTCCCCACTCCATTCACTTACATCTCACTATGTCAATATAGCCTCTTGTGACTTCTCTTTTTTTTTTCCTAACACCCATCAAATTAAATATGTACGGACCCTAATCTATGCTTTCTCTAAGTCAATAAGGATCATCTTTTACCAGGACTCATTTGATTCACTCTTAATGCATCTAATGTGATTTAGAACCCTACACTTTTTCTAATTTTTGTTAATTTAGAGACGTCTTTTTAATATTTTTTTGGCATTTTTATGTTCTTTTAAATTTTGGCCATTTCTATTACATTGTCAAGCTTTATAACAATGATTGTTTTCCACTAATAGCATTCTAAACCTCCTCACATTGCCACCAGGTTTCTTTGTCAAAATTTCTTTTCCCTCTTGTTTCTCCTAAAATTTCTTTTGCCACTTTCTTAATGTAGTTGACGATTTTAATCCACAATCATGCTTAAAATTTTTGTTTTCCTTCTTTTACCAAATCTCTGTCCTCCTTTTTTAAAATCCATAGCCTAGTTCCTGGACACTTACTAGCTCCACTTTATATCTTCCATTTCTTGAGGAAAACATCCATTACCACAAGCATATGTTGCGTGATCAAACTCTTTCTTGGGATAATCTTGCAGTCTTTACGTGATGGTCAAACTACCCTCTTGACTAGAAAGACTGCTAGGTCACGTGATGGTCTAGTTACATTAATTATCTTCTCCCTAACACGAGTTTGATTAATATGAGTCTATCTATCACCTAATGTGTTGACATCAACTTCTTTCTCTTGTAAATTTTGTCTTCAATTATTTCTATGCTATTTCTATCATTATCTATTTCTATAAACTAAAGTTTATATTCATGAATTTCTTTAGCTTTTCTCCCTTTCTACTTATTTTTTTGTAGTCAAGCTATATTAATTTTTCTGCGTCTCGTTGGATATATTCATGAATTTCTTTAGCTTTTCTCCCTTTATACTTATTTTTTTGTAGTCAAGTTATATTAATTCTTCTGCGTCTTGTTGGATCCACTAACTAAATAAATTTGAAAAACCCATTTACAGTAAATTTTTTTGTAGTGCCAGTAACAGGAACTTGGACTCCACAGCATCGGATTGGAGTGTGTAATTTTGGTCTATTGATTGGTTTTAACTTGTGTCCAAATGGTGGTATATTGATTGTAATCAATTGGACTGGAGGGTTAGAAATCAATTGTGATTTTGAAGATCTTTGTGAGCCATCTCTGATTGTCGAGTTGGGTTGTTTTTCACTCGAAGAAAGCAAGTTCTTCTGGTGCCTCCAAATTCTTACAAGTCTCTCTTATTTTTGACCTCGCTGCAGTCAATTGGAAATAGAATTTCAAATTTCATATTTAAACTTAAACTCAACTCTTGTTATGGGGAGATTAAGACATGATTTATTCGGCGACTAATTGGATAATAGAAAGGTTGCACCTCAAACTAGGAGGGGATGTGACAAAGATAAGTAAATTCAAATAAATACAACTCACTTGTAAGGATAGCTCATGATGTTGGTGGGATCATGGGAAGGTGGTCTCTCACTCATGGCGGTGCACCTGGTTGACTTAAGATCATCTAGAGCTAGGCAATCTGATAGAGGCTAGAGCACTGGTGTGCCACACCGAGGTGTGATGGCCTTCTACTGTGAGATGATGTCCCAGAGTGTCCTTGTTGTCCGCATTGCATGCTCAAATAATAATTTAGGGTATGCCTCTGTCAAGCAGGAGTTCCTTGAAGGAGTATGCAAAAGATCAAACTCCTGGAATTCCCTTAGTCTCATACTTAGTGGGGAGCTATGGACCACAAGGTTAAGATAGGTGCTCAGCCCTCAACACCCTACTGGAAGGCATCGGTATAGTTGTACTTCATTGTTACATGAAGATGAACTTCTTAAATGATTTCTCTTTGTGCCTTGTGTGTTAGATGAACTAAAGATTCTTTTGAATGTGTGTGCTATCACACTCTAAGCAAGTTGACCGCAGATAATCGTTCCCATCGCCCATCATGAGTTACCTTTTTATCTGGCCGGCTAAGGTCATGATGTTTAGCAAGCTTGATGTGTGCTTGGGCTATTGGCAAGTTTGAATTGTAGATGGTGACAGGGAGGAGAAGACTTGTGTACGCTTTATGGGTCAGGGAAAGCCAATATGGTTGTGGGTGCCTCGAAAGATAGACTACACTGTGGTGGTTACGACTGAGGCTGGAATGAAAGTGGATCTTTTGGGAAGGATTCTTGAGAAAGACTGAGAGAAACCTAGTGAGCTGCAAGTTAGTGAAGCAATTCCAGGAGGAACACCAGGAGATCTTGGCAAAAGGGTGGTGTCATCCATGCCAAGGGCACGTGCATCTTATGTTCTGTAGTCAAGAAAGAATGGGCCCTTTTGTCCTGGAGTTATCCTTTTGTCATGAAGTTACTAATGGGTTCCATTTTAAGTCAGAGGTGGAGTAGAGACTCACTTGGTGTGCAAACAGGTTAATCTAGTTTCAATGGGGAGTAGAGACCCACTTGGTGTGCAAACAAGTTAATCTAGTTTCAACAAAGTTTAAGATTTAGATATACGAGGTAAAATGATCTCTTGTAAGTTCGGTTCTTCCAAGGTTCATGTCAGCTTACACTACTGTTGTAGATGTGATGAAAATTGAATCCTGTATATATGTGATCTACTAGTTGTTGTTACTGATTTGTCTTAGGTCGTTGAACATCAATCTAGAAAGATAATTTTGAATTATGGACATGTAAACTTATATCTATTTGATGAACCAAAAACCTTGAAAAACAGTGAAAACGTTTTGAGTATTTCTAACATCGATTTTCTACGGTTTCCGTTCAAAGGCTGCATCTACATTCCCGGAAAGAAAAGATGGATGAAGTACATTATGATGTTACACATCATTCGGAATTAACATATTGCGAAGTTTCTCACGTGATGTGCTATAATTATTACCTACACATGATGTCATCTGGCAATTTGAGTAAAATTGCAAACTAAAGATAGCCACGTAAATAGTAATTAAAAAAGAAATTGAAAGATTACGTTGTCCTCATGGACCCATGATAAACAATGGGACAGTCCATTAAGGATAGTGGTTCAATAAACTGACATTAGATTGTCAATATAATTGCTTCTTTGGAAACAAAATTATTAAAGGCCTCATAAAAGATATACTCGCGATATACTTGCAATATACTAAACACTTCCAACCAATTCATTTGTTAATGGTCCTTAGATATAATGTTTTTAAATGTCTTTATTTGTTTATTCAATTGTGTTATTCTTTTTATATTTGTGGTAAAAACATTGATAACTTACCCACATGGGACCTTTGGAGTCTTCATATTGATATTCTGTTTGCAGTTGTGTTGAAAGCATCGATTACTTACCCACAAAGATCTTTTCTAATTATATCTTATAGATTGTATATTTTTGTTCAGGTATGGCATGGCAAGGCAAGCAATGGAGACATTTTTGTTCAACTAGCAAGTAAGTAGTTCGAAATTGAAAATTGGTGTGCTAGGGAATTGTTATGAATTTGGGAAGTATTTTGATTAGTGATTGGGTTTACAAGAAGTTTGTGTCTTATGGATCTTACTAATTTCAAATTATACATGTTTGATGATAAAATTTGGAGGTGCGCCGTAATAGGAATCACATCTATATATAAATAGACATGTAAAAAAAAGAGTCGTAATGTATACCTTATCCTTTCTGTTATAACAAACAAGGGCATAGGCAGAGTCCCTGTAGCATAGGGATGGCAGTGTTTTAATACTGAAATTGAAGTTGAAATATGTAAACAGAAGCATACCAATAAAACCAAGACAATATAAGGGAAAAAAATAGCAACATAAAAAGGGAAAAATAATAATAAAATAAAAATAATAACGATAAGAATATTTACCTTGAAAGCATAAAAATGGTTCTGATATGGTTTGGATTATCCTTCTGTTGGTTCGTGTATACCAAAACTTTCTCATTTTTCACCTACACAGTAACTTTTACAAGTAAGCCATAAAAACAGAAATGGAACTTTCTTTCGTAAAAACAATCTTTTCTAAAGTACAGTTCACCTACCATTGTTTGGGATATAGTCCCAAACCATTCCTCCCGTCTCTTGCTGCTTTTTGTCCACTTATAGCCATCGTCAGCGAAACTGTTCAGATCTTCTCTGGTTACAAGAAGCATGCTGCCCCCTTATATGGAAAAAATGAGAATCATTAGCAAAGTAATGAGAAAAAGAGTTATAGATATTTTTCCATTTATATAGAAAAAATGAAAATCATTACAACACTACTGGTCATAGTAAATATTTGTAATGAGAAAAAGAATTACTATGAAATACGTACAAGATATTTTCAGTGGACGTTTGACTGTATAGAACTTTGGCCAATTCATTAGAATAGCCAAAGCCTCACCAGCAACAATATTCTTTGGGGCTGAGATAGAAGCCATTAATCCTGAAAGAGATAATAAACTATACAAATTATTAAGCGACTGAGATAGAAGTCATTAATCCTGAAAGAGATAATAAAACTATACAAATTATTAAGATATTTGAGATAAGAAGTCATAATAAAAAAGATATTTGAGATAAGAAGTCCTCATGTGGATGTGAAAAATTTACCGGTGACTTCTCGAAAACCATGTACTTTAGAATGATCAAGTATATCATCCGCATCCGCATCCACCGCATTCATCTGCAAATTAGAAAAAGAATATAATACTTAGAATCTAACATCAACAAAAAAAGCTAACTTCCATTCCATCTGGCTCTATCCCACTCAAATAATTAAAAAATAGCTTCAATTCCAACTCACTCTAACCCACAAACTCTAACCCACCAACAAAACAACTTCAATTCATCTCTCCGTCCATTTATGTAGGTATATGCGTCCAATTTCATAATCATAACTTTTGGATAAAAAAAATGTTAGGGGCATTAAAAATTTCATGATCCAACAACTATCGCATCAATTACTATTATTTTTGGGTGCGGTTTGTATAGAGCCTAGGCTCTAAGTAATCAAATTAGAGCCTACCTTCATACCATTTTCATAACCTATATTTTTAAATAAGAGAGTTTCACACCATTTTCATAACCCATGAACGATACCCCAAGTAATTAATATTATAATTCAAAGTACTGGAAATTTTGCCACAAAAAAGAATACTAGAAAACATGATTACAGCTAATTATATGTGCCATATTATGATCAACGGTGAGCACAATAGTCATCCCAAAGTGCTTTAGCAATACGATCCTGCAGTTCGTCGCCATCATTTTTATCAGCTGGAGGGTTTACATCGTAATATTCAATATTTGTTCCTTTAATTGATCCACGTGCAATTTCCCTATCATACTCTTCATAGAGCCAATCATCAACACCTGTTATAATTCGTATATAATTATGTAAAGTGCAAGCAGCAACATTTATCTTAACTTGTGTTTCTATCTTAACTTGTGTTTCATAAGGATATGTTGATGCCACTTTCAAGAGGATATCTTTTCTTCTTATCCCAGCAAAATGGAATTTTATCATTTGTTTTAACCATGAATTCTTCACTGAGTTGTAGTCCAATTTGCATTGGTTGGATTTTGAGAGGTAGGGGGTTGCTCTGACATCTATAGGCTGAACTGAACGACACACATATATTATGGATCAAATATTTCCAAAGCATAACATTCTGTTATTAATTATCATTCCCTGGATCAATAACATATAATGCAACAACATCCAGATTTCTTGCATACCACACTGGTTTCTGTAATTTCATATTTCTGTGAATTTTATTTAGATTTTTATGGGGATCTCCTATGAAAACTTCTCTATTAAAAGCAACCCAAGAAAGATCAAGCCTTGTTAATTTGGCCAGAAAAACTATGCTACATATCATTTGATTCTAGATAACGATAAAAAATGTCGTGTGAATGAAAGTCACTCAATAATACTGTGATCAAGACCCTATGAATCTTATGTATTTTCAACAAGTGCGTGGAAAAGGAGTCTTTGGTAGCCCCCTTTCCACAAAACAAACATGTACTTAAAGTTGATACCCATAGCACAAAGCATGAAAATGAATGCCCTATCCCAGGCTATTATCGACAAAAGATTACAATCAGCAACGAAAACATCAAAAAGAAATGAAGCTTATTCTAACACAAAAAACTGATACACTTCAACAACAAGAAGTTAAGGAACTGAAACTTGTGTCAACCTCCTTAATAGTATGCACAAGTTATCCTAAGTTGATGGCCATAATGTGGTTCATAAACCCCAAGACGACCTTTGGTGGATTCAGCATCTTAGAACTTAAGAGAGCCTAGTGTAATGTCTTCTTCAACAACAAGCATACTCTCCTATTTGGGGCTTGAACTATTCTAAATTATAAAGCAAGAGCTGGTTTTCATGATCACATAAACCAAGAAAACTTGGTGAATGTGAATTTTCTAAGCTAGTTTTTGTAATCATGGAAACCAATAGAAAACCTGGTGAATGTGAATTTCCTAAATCAAGCATAGTTCTGGATCCAGAGGTACAAATACAACAGGATTAAAACAATTATGTAATTTAAGCTCCTTCATATATTGATTCTAAAACAATCTCTAATAAGAGAAACAACCCAAATTTTATCCCATGGCATCCAAATGATGGTGTTGAGAACACCCGAGAGAGAGAGAGAGAGAGAGAGCGAGAGAGAGAGAGAGAGGATTTGAACAATTTATTACAGCACATTCCACTGAACTGTAAAACATTTGAAAACTGAAGATTCCATCAAGCGAAATGGCATAAATCACATAGATTAGCAAAACTCAAACCACCCAACGTGAAAAGAAAAATGAACCCACGAACCCCTTGATGATGGAGAGTACAAAATAAGCACAACAGAGCAGCAAAAAAGCAACAGTTGCAATAAATCCAAGAAAAAACATACCCTCCAAAGAGAACTCAAATTTCCCTTACAATTCCTTTTAAACTGTCATCTCTTCTCAAAGCAAACCGGCTTCATGGTTTTCTGAACAAAAAGAGCATCTCTCTCTATGAGGCACGACTTGAGCTCAGAACTTTTGCAAAAACCCTGAAGAATGGAATGGGCGTACCTGTTTGGAGCGAGAAATGGCTTCAACTCTATTGCATCTTTTTCAATTTGATTCCTCTAGGTTTTGGAGTTTGTTGGGTTTTTATGGCACAGATAAATGGCGGGGGATGGCTTCAACTTATTTACTCTGCTATAAAAAACCTTTTGAGCGAGATGAGAGAAGGAAGCTGTGAGACCTGCGCTTGAGAGTGGGAGACCTGGGAGCGGGAAGGTTTGGAGAAAGGTGCGAAGAGGGAAGCAAAAATTCGGGGGAAAAATGCGAAGAGGTGAGCCAATAAAAAAAATTTGAGTGCAACTTGAATTTTTTTTATGGGATTTTTTTTCATTTAATTTAAAAATCTGACAAAGGCATGCAGTTGTCGAAACGAGCAAAGTGCGTTTTACAAGATTTTTGGATTGCAATCCAAAAATATTTCAATTTTAGGAACATCCAATTGGCCTTAAATCTTCAAAAATACATGAAAACTTGAAAATCTTGAAAAGTAACGGTTCAAAAGTGCGTTACAAAACACATTATTTCAAAAACTTGAAATCCATTTTTTTTTTGATGTCCAAGCATCTTGATGTCAAGATGATGAATTTGAGGATATTTGGGCATCAAAACAACCTCTTCTAGTGGAATTCTTGAGGTAGGTTGGAATTTGATTGTTTAGAGCTTCAGCCCTATATAAACCTCTCCCTTAGTTTATTATTATGTTTTTTTAAGAAGGCCTCAGCCAATAAAAATAGGGAAAAAGTTTATATAGAGCCGAGGCTTTAACTAATCAAATTTGAGCCGATTTCAAAAATTTTATAAGAAAATGTTGTTTTGATGCTTAAATATCTTTAAATTGATCATTTCGACATCAAGATATATGGACATGAGAAAAAAATGGATTTCAAGTTTTGAAAATAGTGTATTTTGTAAAGCATTTTTGGACCATCAATTTTCAAGATTTTCAACTTTTCATAAATCTATCGGTCTATACTGTTTTTGAAGCTTTAAACTTTATAAATGAAAATAAAATTTAAGGTTATTACAAATATTTTCAGTACTGAAATCACATTTCTCCATACTATTTGAAGGTAGGCTCTAATTTGATTGTTTAGAGCCTGGGATCTATACAAACAGCACCCATAAAAAACAAATCGAACAAAATAGCTAAATTTTAGCTATCAAAAACAAAAAAACTCCCCAGAATAAACCCAAGAACAAATTGGCTGTAAATTTAGATGAATTGGTCTGGCGTTTTGAAGCAAGCAGTCCGGTGTTTTGAAGTGACAGACCGGTGTTGTACAAGTACGTTCGGTGTTTAAGTGAGCAGTCATGCGTGCATTGTATAAGTGTGGTCAAGCGTTTCTTTTTATTGGGATCTGAAAATGATTGGTTACACTGAGGGTATTTTCGTTAAAAAAAAAATTAAATTTTTGTATAAGGGATATTTGCGCAAAAACATGATTTTTTTTGTGGAAAGTTGGTAAGCAAACTTAGAGGGGTAAAATGTCCATTTTGAGGGTTTTTTTGCAATTTTGCACAGAAAATTCACAGAGCACGACTCTCAGGCAATAACAATTTTGACCGCATATGTAAAAATGCGGTGCAGCCCGCGCGAAGCGATTTTCCTTAAATGTATATGTTATGGTCACTCGCACTCTACGTTACTAGTCAAAAAGAAAAGGATGCAGTTGGCATACGGAGGCATTCCTAGTTGTATAGATAAGATGCACCTTCAAATTTTATCAGGGTATATAATTTTGATGTAAAATATTTTTAAGATTATCTTAAAATTTAATTTTATATTTAATTATAAAATTGAAATTTCAAAAATGATTAAAATAAAGTAGATCTATAAACATATGAAAATCTTGAAAACGGACGGTGTAGATAATATGTTGTAAAATGTACTATTTATGAGACTTAAAATCTTTTTTTTTTCATGGTCATACATCTCGATGTAGAGATGATCAATCAAAAGGCTTTCAAGATTAAAACTACTTTTTTCCGATGGATTTTTTAGGTGCATCCGTAGTTCTACCTTATGAGGTTGCATCATAATATAAACCTTTTTCTAACATAAAAATACTAGATGGACTCCCCTTATGACACTATACGTGGACAAAATTGTA